AAGAGCCGGAGAAATGCCTGGGTGCCAGGCGCAGGAACTTCCTGGGAGTCACAATGGCTTGCTCCTCTCCTTTTTGGTCTGGTCCAAGATACAGTAAATGGTGCTTTTAGAGTTCTGAAAATAAATCCCTGGGAGACAATTATAGTCTCAACTCCATTTAAAGCCACAGAGTCAGGGATGAGTTGAACAGAACAGAAACGATTGTTCTTTAAACTCCACAAAGAAAGGAGATGCCAGCAGACTGAAAACTTGAACAGTTCCCTTTCTCCAAGGTCACGCTCTACCTCGTAGGTACAGAATCTGTTGGGCATGGGGACCCATTACCCCTGGCAGAAGGAGGTGGTCAGACTAGAAGATCTTACAGATCCCTTCTGGTCCTGACAGTCATTCCCTGTGCTGACTCAAACGCGGAGAATTGCTGCGTGAGCGTAGTGTTGACATTCCGAGTCCTGCTCCTTCATAAACCCTTAGCCTGTGTTTCTTCTTAGCAAACCTTTACTGAGCCTTTGACTTCATGCAAGGTGCTGAGGAGATCAGAGGGGCATCAAGGGCGCAGCTTTTCAGTTTATGTTCTGCAGGGGCTCCTTATCCAGGGCGGTTTCCTTTCTTTCTTTCTTTCTCTTTCTTTCTTTCTTTCGTAAGTGAGAGAGACAGAGAGACAGTACCCCCAGCAGGTCCCCCCCTTCTCTCTCTCTCTCTCTTTTTTAAATTTGATATGGAGCACATGTACTCACCAGAGAAAGATACAGAGAAAAAGAGAGAGGGAAAGTGAGGAAGTAGCTTCTCCATTCTCCTCTCAGGATTTTGGGCGTGTGCACACGTGCACTCAGTTTGTTCTCAAGCTGCCAAGTCTAGAACCCAAACCGCTTAGTTGGCCATGTGGTATCCAACCACTCTAACCACCATGCCTCTGGCTGGCCCCCCAGATGGGGCCTTGATGTCGTAAATCATGCCTAGCTTTGGTCAGCCCTGGACCATGGGGACACACACACCTGGGGTGTTCAGGAACGTCTCTGAACCTGAACCTGGGAGCTTCCCAGGTGGGTCAGCTTCATGAAATGTCGTGTTACCACTGAGCCACCATCTGGCTCCCCAGGCTGAGGCTCTGACATGCACTTAGAAGTCTGGAGAGCTGGGGGCCGGCAGGTGGCAGGGCTGGCAGGTGGCATGGTAGTTAAGGCTCTGGACTTCCATATGGCTCATGCTTCGAGTCCCAGACCTGGAGGCTTGCCTTCTCACTCTCCCTCTCCCTCGCTCCCTCCCTCTCTCTCTCTCTCTGCCTCTTTCTGGTCAAATTGAATAATAATAATAAATAAATAAAGTTAAATAAAATAATTCTTAAGAAAAGAAAAAAAAAGAGATCTGGAGAGCCTGGACAAAATTGCTGAGGAGGCAGCGATGATCGTGGTGGTTTGGGGAGGGGTAACTAGTTCTTTTTGTGAAATATGAGAGCCCCCGGTGTGTTTTGTGAATCCCCTACTTCCAGCTGGTTGCAGGATTCCCACAACACAGAGCAATGTGACTTTTGTGGGGTGAATGCAGTTTGAGGGACCTGCACCCAGAAGCGATGTTAGAGCAGTTGCCTGCTCTGCAAAGCACCTCAGCCAAACCCCGGGGCGTGCTTTGGGCCCACAAGTTTCCCAGTGTAACGTGTACATGTATTCAGTGATTCATAAGATAACTTTAGGTAGTCCATGAAGTCACAGCCTCTAATGCCCTACACGGGGCCAGGCAGACCGTAACGAGGGGAACAGGCCAGGTATGCGATGACGGGGTGAAGTTGGGTCGTGGCGAATTAGCCAGTGCCAGCTCTATCAAAGGGGCAGTGGCTTCTCAGTTCCAGCTGACTACTGCCAGGAATATGGGTCCAGTGTTTGCCATTTATATTCCATCCTTCCAGGGAAGCCAGAAATGAGGACTCTATGTATGTATGAGGGGACTTCAAAAAGTTTATGGAAACATGAGAAGTATTTCCCCCACATTTTGAAATTCATGTATAGTTTTTTTTTCATAATATTAATTTTTCAACAATGTTTTGAAGACCCCTTGCATGTATTTATATATGTATTTGTGTATGTGGAATCTCTATATTCTTTTTTTTGGAGAGGCTTTTGCTATAGGGTGCATGCACTCACCAGAAAGACAGAGAGACAGAAAATAGAAATCACCCCCCAGGGGGGATGGCCACACTGCAATCCCTCCTCCTCCATTCTCCTCTCAAGATCTTGGGCACTCACGCACATGTGTCCAGTGTGAGTTTAAACTGCCAGGTCCAGGACTCAAACTGCAGCCGACTACATGGGAGTCCAGCGACATAGCCATTACGCCAACTGCTGGTCCTGGAATCTCTATCATCTTAAGCGAAGGCGACTAATTCCAGTAAAAAAATGCCTTGCAGGACAAAGCATAACCCATTTACAGAGCACTGGTGTTTGCTCTCCATAATGCAAGTATGAAAAATGTTTTGAAATGAATTTATTTTAGTGTATTTTGTAAAAATATAACTAAAGACAGTCCATGGTCTGGTGGTTAAGGTGGCTGGATCCCACATGACTGAGGCACAGTTCAAGTCCTGGATCTGGTATCTGGAAAAACATACCAGGTGCTTGTACGTGCATGTCAAAAAATCCTTACAGGAGGGAGAAATGGAGAGGAAAGGAGTTCAGTGTGATCATGTCCCATGTGGGGATGCTTTCTCCTTTTTCTTCTCCCTGTCTACTACAAGCATACACACCATATGGCAAATTTTTAAAAAAGAAAAGAAAAATATAAGTAGCACAGTAAACCAGTGAGTTTGTGAACTTAATGAATATTTTCCCCACTTCTCATACTAGGGAACTACCATTGCCTCATAAAACGAATTTATCAGAGTCAAAAATATGTTACTTGAAAGAAACGCACGAAGCAAATAGAGCGGTGGTTTCAGATGTACAAAGGCGGTGAAGGCTATTGAATGAGCGGCCTAGGGAGAGCTGTTCCCTGCGCGGAACTTCTGACTGTGGGTTGCTGGGAACACGACTAGCCTCAGGGGCTTCCAGGGTGTCCTAGTTCATAGCAATGGCCTGACTGGTGGTGCCTATAAAGTGCTTCCACATCTGTGATCTCTAGTAGCCCTCAAGGCCTGACTGTCTCCTGTGGCTGGGGTGGAACTGAGGTCCGGATGGGAGTGCAGAGGAATGATGGCTGAGGTAGACCTAGGAGTACAGT